CTTGTATTTATTAAGTAAACTTGAATGTCCATTACTATACCAAATACAGGGAAATGGTTCAAAAAAATAAATACAATTTTTGCTCATGAGATATTTTCATTGATGAGATACAAAGTACATTTTACAAAATGAAGGATTACCACGAGAGAAGCTTAATCTGCATGCACAACTCAGGAATTAGAGGTGTTGAACTTTTCTGTTCCTTAAGTGACCCTCCTGTGTCACTAGAAAAAAGTGAGGAGTGGTGTGAAACCAATTTCTAAAAGTGGAAACAAATGTCAACTCCACTTCTCAAAAGAGCTTTTAGATAGTCAGGAACATACCCTGAGGCAGGAGAAATGAACTGTTTAAGCCTGTTGTCTCATTGGTGAGGTTTATATATGTAGATATATATAAAATCAATAATAATAATAAATGTATAATATAATAAAATAATATGTATATACTTATACATATATATTTAAGATTTATTTATTTATACATACAGAACTGGGGTACAGGGATGATGAGAGGTTCACCAGAGACAGAGTGGGGAGCAGAACAGGCAGATCGTCAAAATATACTGTTAAGGGGAACATTGGGTGGGTCAGCAGAGGTCTGCCACGCCATGTGGGTCACCTCTGGGGTGGGTGGGAATATAACTCATGTTGAAGTGGCTTTAGCTTCTCAGTGCTCTGCTTTAACTTGTTGCACCACAGGGGAGGGCCCAGCACAGTTATATTTTAAGAATCCATCACTTTTATACCCCAGGTTTTCTGACTGGGGACAGGATGCTGTAGGTTTTCTGGGGTATTTGAAGAACTACAAGATGAAAATCTATGATTGGACAGCCAATAAAATTTGTGAACACTGTTATGAGAAGCTCCCTGAATCCTAACAAAGGGTAAGAGCAGCACTGGCAAGGGGCTGTTGAGGCAGTAGCTGCTTCAGTGCAGAGGTGAGGCCAGCAACCAACCATAGAGTGACACTCAAAGGAGACAGTAGAAATAGGGGCAACACCAAGTCCTCAAGGACATCATACTGAGAAAACATTAACCCATAGTTAACCTACAGTGGACACAGTACATGGGCCCTTGATACTTTGAAGGACCCGTACTTTGAAGGTCATAAAAATGTTTTAATATCTCTCTAAAATCAAAACCCTAAAATAACTATAATAAGGAATGTATGTTAACAGACCTGGGCTGTGTTATATTTATTTTTGAGCAATGTGTTTATAAAATATAATGTTTAATTTTTATTTTATGATGCAAGGGAACTTGAAGAGGTGCTGATGTCACTCTAAACCAATGAAAGTCATAATGTCACCCTGAACCAATGAAAGTCATAATGTCATCCTGGACCAATCATTTAGGCTGAGGATATTAAATATGCATGTGATGGGTTAATAACCCCAAACACTTTAATTGGGGAAAGTTTTAAGTTAAAGACTCTAGAGACTGTTATCCACCACCACCACACACATAGAAATACACACATGACTGCAACTGAGGTCATAGGCTTTATGCAATGTAATTAGGGTCCTGCCTCATTCATCTCAGAAGTGTGTAGCTGAGAAACATTGCAAGAGGGGACAAAAGATCATAAGGGAGAAGGTCATGGAGGGTCAACTGGAAGTCCTCTTTTTCATGCACTGTGTCATTATTTTAAATAGAAAGGCACAAATTTAGTTATTGCAACTTAACTACCCTTCTTAACAAGTGAAAAATAAAATCTCATTATTTCCAGGTACAAACAAAACAGTGAATTCATTGTGAATTCCACATACAAATTTCTAGTGAAGAGAGAATTTGTCCAAGTTTCCCAATTCACATCTAGATCTTTGCTTACTTAAAGGCATTAATATTTAGAAATACAATTAACCAGTTTGGTTATCCAAAATTAGTTCTATTTGTACCACCTTTAAAACATGCTATTTGGTAGCAGGATGAAGAATGAGTTAAATGTAAACAGTATGGTCTGAATTCTATCCTATGTTGGAGAATCTGCAGGAATACACTTACTGGGGAAAGGATACAATATGGTAGGCAGGGGCTGCCAGTATTCAGAGGCTATGAGAAACATTGCTCTGACATTTCTTATGCTGGGAATTTATAGAGAGCCTGACACTTAGCATGACATTTACCTTCCCTAGTAAAAAGGTTATCTGTCCTCTGCACTAAGAGACAAGAACAGCCATCAGAAATTAGCCTTTTGTGGTCAATTTCCTGCAAAAGCATTGAAGCTTATGGTTCAAAATTTGAGATATATAATTTTTTAACATATGAAAAATTGAGTATAATTTAATTTCAAAACTTGCTAAAATGATAAAGATTGCAGGTACTTGTTTACATGTATGTATATACAAAGAAAAATGTTCAGAACATTCATACTTGTAAGTCTGTTGGTAATTGTCTATATGTAAAACATTCATCCTATCTATACAATATTATACAGTAAAATTCAGTAATCTTTCATTCTTCCTGAAAAAAACAATTCAATCTCCAATAGTGTAAATATAAAATTTAAGGGGAAATATATGAAAATGTCAGAATTGTTATTTTTATTTTCTTATTTCTATCCTTTTTTTTTCGATTTTGGCAATAGTACATATAGTTTTTTATAATCATAAAGGAGTGATAATTTTTAATTCACATATTTGACAATTTTCAGTTTGTAGATGTCTCTACATTGTAGTCTTCCCCCACCCTAATTTAATACATCTCCATTTTATCTGTTGAAAATCTCTGATAAATAGACTTTGGAATATAATTGATAAGGAATAAAAGAGTAATTTTTAAATACAAACTCCAAAGAAACAGTAATAGAACCTACTACTAGAAAATTGCTTGTAAGTGAACAATTTAAATATGGAATTACAGGCCCTCCCTGGTGGCGGAGCGGGTTAAAGCACAGCACAAAGAAGCTTAAGCCAATTCCGTATGAGTTCCATCCCGCCTGCCCCGGAGAAGAGCCACGTGGCGCGGCAGACCTCTCCTGACCCGCCGGCTGCTCCCCTCAGCAGTGTACTTAGTAGATCTGCCTGTTCTGCTCCCTGTTCTGTCTCTGGTGAATCCTCTCACCCTCCGCATCTCTGGCCTGTACCCCAGTTCTGTACAAATAAATAAATAAATCTTTTTTTAAAAAAAATATGGAATTACATACTTAAAGTATTTCATGCACCCAAAGTGGATCTTAGGAAGAGTTCTAGTAAAGATGGTAATCAGTATCATGAGTTAGCATTAGATGAAAATCAGAGAGATGTTAAAGTTTATAAACCCAGTAGTGCATACAGACTAAAAAAGTAAGTATATGTGAAATGGTTATGTCAGTTTTCCATGAATACAAAAGAAACAAAAGCATTTTGTTAGAGATATGCTTGTAAGAGCAGTTATGGGTGGTTAATTCTTATGGAACATGGCAGACTGACGGAGATACTTCTCATCATGGTTTGTTGACATCCAGACTGCGTGTTTTTCCGGAAAGGTGACTGCTGCCCCACCCATTAAAGATATCGTAGGAAATCTGCTCTTATGCTATCAGTGAAGCAGTAAACTGCTGCAGTTTGGGAAAACCCCCAGCCTCACCGCAGCCAGATTAAGTGAGTTGTTGAGGGAGAGAAAGGGCACAGCAGAGCTGCGCAAGGGGTAATCTAGCAATGGGGTAGATCTCCATGCCGCCTCGACTCTTAAGCCACGTCTTGGCCATCACACCCTCTCTGAGTCTCAATGCCCCCAACAATTTAGCAAAAATAAAATCTTCCCCCATAGAGTTCTCATGAGGTCAAGTAAAACCTGCGAAACACCTGGAGTCCCCAAGACAGTAGCTTCTCCTATAATCCAGTTCCTTTTCTTGTGAAAGAAAATGTGGACTCAGCACTTCCTCAGCTGAAGACATCAGGTAACCTCACATCCAGGTATCCAGCCTGAGTGGATCCTGGGACTGCAATACTTAGCCCTCTATTTCTTATTTTCTGTGTTGGGAGAAAAAAAAGAGTGGTATCTGAAATCGGGTTTTTAAATAAATATCACTTGCCATGCTCCCTGCATTTATTTCCCTCATGGTCTTATTGTAGAAGTTAGTAAAAAGAAATTATTCTCAAGATTTCTTATTGGTTAGAAAAGCTATCATTTTCTACATTGCATTGGTGATAAACACAGGGAAATATCAAAGAACTTTCTACAGCAAAGTGCCAAGAAAAATAGAAATGTCCCTTTATGTAGATTTTGCTTTCCAAACAGTCAAAAATATCTTAAGAAACTTAACAAAGAAAAGGGGGGAGGAGTGATTTTGAAGTATTGTTTGAAAAGAAACAGACTGAAATCATTGTTGGAGGATGTCAGGATGTGATAATCAACTTGTAAAGCTTCACCATTCTGTTGTTGCTAAGCATGACATGGAAATACAAGACTCAGTATAATCTAAATCCATTTATATCCTTGAGTGTATACTTAGTATTACTTCTTTTCAGCTAACTTCTTGATGCTTCAAAAAATAAGAGAATGAGACTGACCCTTCAGTATGGTTACATTTAGAAAATTGAGCTTGTATTATTATTGTGTTTGTAGTTCTTAGTGTTTTAAACCACTAGCTTCAAAAGAAGCAAAAATGCACAGTTGTGTTACTATAAGCCCTGCAGAACCTCTGATAAGCAAAGTTGTATCATTTTACAAATTGCCAAATCAATTATCAGCCAGATTCTGAATTCTAGAAGCATTATACCACAAGATAAATGGAGTAGTCAGAAATAACACAGCTTGATTTGAAGATAGCAGGTGGAGATGGCAATCCTATCTGGGGGAAGCTTGTTTTGATATATGAATGTTTGCCAGGTCTGGCGGTGGTTTTAGATATTCTCTGCAACCTTGGAGCTATTATTGTGGCAGACCTTCCTGTTATGTTGTCGGACTGTACCAAACTTGTAAAACAGCGAGGTTCATGGGGTAATATCTCGAAAGCCAAAAGGCTATAGAGAAAAAGTTGTTAGCAGGCACTAACACGGGTATCATGACTCTTTTCAGGTAGTAGGTGTAACCTTGAAGAAAAAGTGGCACTGTCTTCAAAAAAGTGACCTGACCCTGGCTTTGGTGGGTTTTTCTGCAAGAAATAAAAAGCACCGCATGTGTTTATTATACATCCTTTCTAGCTGACCACTGCTTTATTCTAGAGTTCAGCATGAAAGGACTAATTTTTGTTTTGTTTTTATTTTGTTTTAGTGAAATGGCATGTCCGTTGCTAATTTCTAGCTATTCTAGTTGCACATGTGAAAAATATCTATCTGTAGTTTATGGATTGGTAGCATTTCAAATAAATGGTATTTTGAAATATTAACTTGAAATTTTTTGAGATGCTTATCAATTGACTTTTTTTCTTAGCCCAAGAAAAGAGTGAATTGTTTTTCTTTTTAATTATACCTTGTAACATTAGATTTGTTCTTTTAAATATATTAGGAATTTACCTATAAGCATGCCACTTTGTTTATTGCTATATTATTAGAACTTCTTGGAGCATGTAAATAATTCTTCACAAGCAATTTTGCTCTTTTGAAAAACACAAACTGCAAAGGTATTTGTTAAACCATATGTAGTCTGTAAATGAGTGTAGGTTCTAAAGGTATACTAAGTTCATAAAATGTGATGTTCCATCCAAATATTTTTGTATTTTGAAAAAGTTAAATAGTTTAATAGGCCATAATAAATCTTTTTCTAGAATTCAGAATTGCATCATCTCTAATTTAAGAAGTTCACATTGCTTTATTAGAGAAAAAAAAACCTGGAATAATTATACACCCCAATTTGTTATGCAGTAAATCATTGTTTCATTTTATTCTTCCAAAAGTCATTTACAGTAAGGATTGTGGCATAAACTTTTCAGACACATATGAACACTACAACTGTTACAACTGCTGAATAAAATCTCTAGTAGTTGATATGGCATCTTAGAAATAACACATTTTCTTCTTTAATGATAATTCTTAAGTCAAAACAAACCAAGGAAAGAAATGTTCAGCATTGTAAAGAAATTTTTAAACTTTTAAGATCTAGGAACTATTCAAAATTTTTTCTTGGTTATCATAAATAAAAACTGCCACTTGTTACATTGTAGAAAGGAAATAACTGAGATAACTGTTTGCTTCCTAAAGTAAACCTACATTTCAAATACTTAAAACCTGATGCAGACCAGAGATAATAATATAATTTTATGCCTTTTTAAGTTGCTTAGAAATTATCAAGACTTTTATTATCCTCTGGAGTTAATATTGACCTTAGCTTCTAATTCCCTTTCAGACAGTGGATCCCTGTATGTCCATTTTTGTTTCTTTGTGGTATCTCTGTGTCCTATATTTGTATTTTAGATAGATTTGCAACACAGATATTCACATGTGTTCTTAGTCTAAAATTACTTTCTCCAGGGAGATTCCACCCAAAGACCTGAGAACATGGAAGGTTGTTATCTTTTTTAAGTGTTTAAAATTATTTAATTTTTACATAGTATGAGATGTTTCTAACTGGGTTGGGTAGGTGGCTTTTTTTTGTTTGTTGTTTTGTCCATTATGACATTCTCTACCCTTGCAAACAAAAATCTGGTATATCTAAATGACAAAAAGTCAATCCACCTCTTTATAGCCCATAATTATGGCTTTATGCAACCAAAAATGTAAGGTTAGCTGCATATATTTCAGTGCCTCCGTTATTAATCATCATTCATTTACATCTGAATTTATGGGATTCTCCAGTTAAAAGATATTTCTAAAATTCTATTAAAAATTCTTTGGCCTCACACATTGGGAGATGTAAATATTTTTTTCACAAGGTCACACTCCACAAAATAAACAAGTTGGTGAATTCCTGGGATGTTAGGCCACTGAAAATTTTTTGAGATTTTTGTGATACATCTTGTTTTGTCCCAATCCAAATCCACTCAAAAATGACAGAAGTCGGTGAACAACCAACAAAAGCCCTTTATGGGAGACTTGATCCTACTGCAGACTCCTCACTGTCATTTAAAGCATTTAGATTCCAGAGTGAAAATCTGTAAATCAACACAGAAATCCAGTGTTTTAAAATCAATACTATAAAATTTATGTTGTCATGTAAATTGCCTTAAAATATCTGATACATATAAAATACTATGTTAAAATTAAATATAATATGTCAGATGTAAAAGTGAAAAAGTAGCTAAAAGTTCACAAATGATCTTTTTTCAGATTTTGTGTGTTTTCTCCTCAGCCAAAAGCCTCAAGATGCACTTGCAACAGCCTACCTCTTCATTTATGTTGGACTGCTCTTTAAACATTAGAATATCTTGTAATAAATAATAAGTTAAAGATTTCTCCTGACACGAGTCATTGTTGATTTCACTGTTATAGGGAAAAGGCTCTAGGGCGGCAGATAAGGCTGTTGCCATGGTGATGAAGGAGATACCGAGGGAGGAGTCTGCTGAAGAAAAGCCCCTCCTAACTATGACATCACAGGTGGGCAGACCCGTAGGGTTTCTGTAGGAAGCTGACATATGTTAATATATCAGACATTGCGATTTTTAACTAGCAAAAAAAAACAACAAAAAGAAAACATCAACTGGAACCAACTGTTACAAAAGCAATTTCAACGAAAGAATTATATAATATAAAGTGAAAACCAAAATTGCTAAAAAAAAAAAAAAGGAAAATTCCATCATTTAGTTATTTATTCATGGATATTAATTCTCATTACTCAACTTTAGTTTTAAAAAATGTGCGTGCAAGTAAAACCATGTTGCTTCCTTATAAAGGAGTCTTGTTAACTACTTTGAGAAAGAAATCAGAAACTAATGATACATTTGAAAAATAGCAACCAAAAAAATCAAATTCCTATGAATAAATACAAGTTATATTGTATACATATGTCAGTTTACCAGTAGAATATCTAAATTTTCTTCAATGTTAAATATATTTATGTTGTGATTATGCATACTACATATATGTGTATACATATTTATGTGGATAACTAATTTACAGGAATGAGCCAGAAGTCCCTGCATTCCCATGCAGAAAATGGCATTTGTGACCCCTTTTATATTAGAGAACTTGACAACAAAAAAATCATCTCTATTATATGCACATGAGGGCCATTTTCAGCATTTATTGTAAGTATAGAAAAAGTTTGCATTTGTATGCAAAGACACGCTTAGACTCTGAATCCTGTATGTCCTCAGGGACTTTTGAAACACCCTGTAAAATCCACATAAATATGTATAATATACTCATCACCACTCTTGTGGAACTCAGTTTTAAATTCTTAAATGAAAAATATTTTTACTTGCATTTATCTTATAATTTAGATTAGTTTGTTATCTTCAACATTTCATTTTTTTCTGTAATGCAATAGTAAATGCAGTGATTCAGTTCCGATTATATGAACATGTCTAGAATTAGAAAAATGTCCATTTACAGTCCTCATGAAAGGCATTTACATCAAAACCAAAATTATGACAACTTATTTTTAGAATATCATCATACCACATCCCCAGCTGCTGCCAACATGTGTGGTTTTATTTTATTCTACACATTATGTTGTAAGTAACAAAAATTATAACAACATATAACATCAAAATTGAATAATAAAAGAAGTGATTAAAGATTCTCAGGACTTACAGATAAATTTTATACTGAGTTTTTATCCTTATAGAAGAAAAGGGTTTTCTTCCCAATAACCTAGCAGTAGTTGGGGGGAAACTGTTATTTGCCAAGCTCATCATTCTTTACCTATTTTACATAGTTAGAAGATATAGTTTTACACTGATCACTTGCCGATTGTAGAGGCCATGTCCAAAATGTTCAGTCCTCAGAGGAATGTCATAGGAGATGAGAACTACTCAGAGTTCTCAGCTATTGGCTGAGCAATATTTATCAGTAGATAAGAACCACCTGAATTTGCAATCAGCCAAGTTGCATTAAAACATATTTTCTGAGATCACAATTTAGAATACGTTCCAATTCCCAAAAGTTTTGTTCCCTCAGATGATGCATTGCTATGTGCTATATCAAATCCTTGCAAATGTCCAAATTTGCCACTATACCCTAATTTTAAATTTAAATTTTAATGCAAATTAATATTTTTGGTTATTTTTTTAATTTAGAAAAGATATTGTGATGATCACTCCTATTCAGAATATTTGTGTGTACAAAGATCCTTTTTAACTCCCTTTCTAATGTTGCATTAACTGTTTTTGAGGTACTAGTTGCAATTTTATGCATGAAGATTATAGAATGCTTTCCTTGATGCATCATATTCTTGTTGCATACTGGCTAGTTTATGAATCAGCAAACAGCGTTCTGATTCATAAAATATAATGCACCTGTTGTCTTGGTAATTTTATGGAATTAATTCAGTGACAGCTGTGATACAATTATTGCTCAGTCAAATGCAGTCTCATTAGTTGATATACTTTTTCCACTGTACACAAGTGGCTTCTTCCCTGCTATGCACCAGTGGCGTGCACAAGCCAAAAAGCAGCAGAATGATCTGAAAAAGTGAGTACTTCTCATGGCAACCACAGCATCCAGTCCGTGTACCATACATCTCTACTTGTGATCCTGTGTGAATGTATTAGTGTCTTGAAACATGTTTGTCCCAGTGTCTTCTCTAAAGCCCCTTATGACATAGTGCTACATACTGCTGGCTACATCGACTCATCTTCATCACTGGTATGTCAGTGCCAGCTACTCATTCATAAATGCCAAGTATGTTTGAAGCTAACTGCTGCTCTCTCAATAATGTCTCTGGAACAATCAGAATTGATAAAGTACAGAATAAGCCCTTGTACCACAGAGTCCATAACTTGTTTAACAACTGTTTATTCAATAGACTGTAAATGTAAAATAGCTTATATTCAAGCGTTGTTTGTACTATGGAATTATTATGATCACTTTTAGAGGAATTTAGCCAAACATACTCCAGTGAACTCATTAGAATACATTGAACAAAGTGAATAAAGGAGAAGAGCTGGACAGGTGACCTCAACTCAGCATTGCTGGACCCTGGAGAATTGCTCTTTTTGTGAAACATAGCTATTAATTTTGTATTACAAACAATATGCCAAGCAGTTCACAAAAGCTCAAGTTCATGCTGTCCTGAACTAACAATTAAAACAATCAGTATGGAAACAAATGTGCACTGATGAAAAATTTGAAGGGGGGAAAAATAAGTGAATCATCAAGACTTTGAGGAAAAATGTTTCTCTAGACCTGTGCTGTTCAATAAAGAAGCCAGTAGCCACTTTGTGGATATCTCATATTAAGATATGTTGTGAGTATAAAATGCACTCCAGATTTTGAAGACTTCATCCCAAAACTAATATAAATCATTGCATTAAAAAATTTATATTGCTTACATGTTAAAATGATAATACTTTGGGTATACTGAACTAAAGAAAATGTATTCTTCAGATTATTTTCACCTGTTTCTTTTTGCTTTTTTCAAGTGGCTACTAGAAAAATCAGAATTGTGAGGCATGTATATTTCTATTGGACAGCACTGCTCTAAATGATAGTACTGTAAATAATCCAATTTGAGATAGAAAAGAAAACTATGTGCCCATAGTTTATGTCATGGAAAAAAATATGTATTACTTTTTATGAGAATGAAATGATTTTTATAAAATTTTACTCTCATAAGGAATCTTGAATAATTTTCATTTTACAACATTTCCTGGTAATGTTTTTTAAAATGCAAAGTACATGACATTCATTTTTGCTATAGAGCACAGTGTGTTAAAATAAAGTGTTCCTGACCTTTTCTTTTCTAGGGACATTTTTTTTTAAAACAAACTCAGCCTTTGTTTTTCTACTCACTCCCACCCCTCATACCTCAATATTGATTTATTTTTGTGTCTATAAAGATAGAAAGTATAATATCCTTGATTAGGAAAACATTCTCAATTCCACATTCTAAATATGGCCTCATTTGGGCTTCTCTTGCTAACTTGAAACAATTGCCTTAATTATGTTTCCCTGCCTGCATTAGTGTTCGTACTACTCAAACTAAGTAAATGGTAATAACTGTTCATTTCTCTATGACTAGATTTACATGTCATAAGTCTAAGTATTCTGCCAAGAAAATATTTGTAGTAAGTTGTTTGACATTTAGACCCAGTCAGAGAGTTGAAAGTTATCACTAGGTTGTCTTGTACAAGAAGATTCCTTGAAACCCATGTATAGAAATGGATCCAGATCCATTCACTGGGAACTGGGGCAGAATCATTAGTAATACTGGCTCGTAAGACACGACTTTGTCTGCTGTTATGATAATCATGACAAAGTCTTTAAGAGCTGACTACAGAAGGGATGGAAAATAATGAATAACTTAGTTGTCTTGTCTTTTCAATGTTTTGACCCAGTTATTTAGTTACGCTACTAATGAGTCCCTCCCATTATGGTCACTGTTTCAGTGAGTATCACACAAATCTCTAAACTTGGAGAGAACTAATAAAGTCATAAACAAATAGTTCAGTTACAAAATTATGAACAAATGCTGACTTCACAAATGACATATACTTTTAATCAATAGTGTCACAATTAGTAATTTTCAAAATGCAAAGATTTATCCACTAAAAGCATGTTGGCATTATTATTTATATAGGTACAAGACAACCTTAAATTTTTCTAAATTTTAAGTGATGCAAAAGATATGGCTTGTTATTATAATTTTTTGTTAATCAACTTCATAAATTTAATATATTAAATGTATAACTTTTTAGCTTCAATTTTTTTAACTTTTAAAATTATTCTTTAAGTACTAAGTGCTTAAAATGAAAACTATTTTAGTTTAAACTAAATTAACAGTTTGTGATCAATAATCTAAAATACAAAATTATGAAATAATTTGTTACTATTCTTTACAGACCTTGTTTTATGATCCAAAATATGTCTTGATTTGAAGTTAAATCTTAGGCATATGTTATCACAGCCTTTACTTCTATATTTTAACGACATACATAACCAATATTTTGTTCAAAGATAAAAAGACTTAATACAAAAAGTAAGCTGTATACACACACACTGGAGCTTATGAAACAGGCAGTATTTAAAAGCAAAATATTCTCCTTTCACGTTAGATAAACATTCCTCTGAGTTTAGATCACATAATAATTTAATTTTTAATACTGAAATTAGAGAACATCAAGTTAAATTAAGGCAAATTTATTTTTAAATATAAAGTTTAGGAAGACAATCACTCACTAGAGCTGGATAGCAGCACCTATATTTAGTCAACATGAAACACAGCATTGGTATAAAATAAGAAGAAATGTGTCCTTGTGGTGGCAAAAATATTAACCACATTAATTGACCAGTCTAAGTCATAAGTATATGGAAGGCATTTGATTGACAATTTCATTCACAATCTATGACTACAAGAAAGGTATAAAAACTCAATGTCTACTCAATTCTGATGGACAAGAAGCTCTTACGCTCAAGTTTGCACCTGTCTTCGAACTTCTGCTATTTCCTTTTGTTTCCATCTCCATTAACCATTGAAGTTTTCTTCTTAAAATCTTCAAGTTAGAAATGTAATTAAAATCACTGCATGAGAGAGTAGCATTAGTTCCTGAAGTGTCACTGGCCTCCCACGTGAATTAGCCCACATCCAAATGTTGGGTGGCAAGGGGAGGCCTATGCCCTGCTTCCAGAATATTCATTAGGCAATCATTCTTTGCATCTTGACTTCTTGGTAGAAATCTTCCTTTAGGTACCATTAGATTTCAAACACTTAAAGGATGTGACATCATGGGAAGATGGACTTAGATGTATAGTTTGAAATAGAAATCTATCAGGAAATAGGTAGACATTTCAGAGGACCTCCAGTCTCTTGGTGAACTGCTCAACCTATAAAATAGAGGATAGCCGTGAAATCATTTTTTGTGTGTGCAATTCTACATTCAATTTAGACTGCATGACATCAGTCAACATTTATTTAACTGCTACAGGGAATACAAAAATGTATTGGATTACATAAGGTCTTTGCTGCCAAGGACATCCCAGTAGGGAGGAAGAAAGCAGGTAAAACTAAGGTTATAAAACTGGGTGAGCCTGCCACTGTAAGGGCTCTGTAAGAAAGCACTGCTGCCTGGCTCTGAAGATGGTCCCCACATAATGTGTCACAGATTAGGGTCCTGGAAGAGATAAGAATCTGTGCCCCTTAGATAGGCTTTGGAGAATACAACAGATTTTAAATGTCAACAGATTGAGACAAAGTCTTAAACACTATGAAGTAAGCTATTTTATGTAAATTATGATCATTTGTTAAGACCAAAATGCAATCAGCCTAACTCAGTTATATTTTTTTCAAAAAGAAAAACTTTACATTCACCTTTTATTACTTTTATAACATCAATGCATTCTGTACTAAAATAAACAAAATGAGGTAAGTTAATAAGGTATTTTCAAACTGAAGAAAGTAATTCTAAGAGAAAACCAAAGTACCATGTCCTATCAGTGAATAAGGAATACAATAAGTGGCATTTAAATCTGTAAGTGAAACTTAGGGGAACTGTTTAAAGGGTTCAGTTCAGCTCACAATTTTCTTTTATGGACTAAAATATTTATTCTCAAGTCACCATAGGAAAACCATAAATTTGCTTGAAAGTGAGGAGGAGGTTATGGGAAAAGCTATTCTTAGCTCTACAAATAAAAATAAAGTGGGACTTAGTTTGGCTAAAGTAATGATTTCTAAATGCATTCAACTAAAGATCATAGATCAAAATTGCACTGTTTGAGATAGATATTTTTATATCTTTCAGTTTCTGCAAAATTACTGTCCTATGTGGGTGCCATTTACTGAGCCTCTCTTATATGAAGGACTCTATTTGAGGTTTTGAAGGATATAAATATGAGTAAGACACAGCCTCTGACCTCACAGCTTATAAGATTTCTTCATGATATATCCTGTTTCATCTTCCATATCTCAATCAAAACCAAAAACTTTCAGGTACTAAATTACCTTTCCATGTTCTCTGAAATCTGGCCTTCATCTTCTTCACCCCTGAGCCCTGTCACTCACCTCTGCCCCAAGTCCCACAACTAAATTGTGTTCCCACCTAAAAATCTCTGGCTGAGAACACAATTTGTTATTTCCTCTTTGATTTGTGCCTATGGAAGAAAGCACAGTTCAAGTATGGGAGCTGGGCAGTCATAGAAGTTCCTTCAGTCCCTTCAGAAAGAGGTCAAGAAGGAGACAGCAGTGTGGGAGATACACAGACTTCATTAAGTAGGGGTTTAGGAGAAGAATGTAGAGGCCGTTTCTTAATCTTGGGGTCTCTCTAAACAAATTCCTCTTTGGTGCGTCTTTCTTCCTGAAGTGAGAAAATCTGAGAATTCTCAGGTGCTTTCTAAAAATTGAGTAGGAGGTTTGAATGAGGAAACTACAAGAAAATTAAAAACATAAAACCTATTATCTTTGATTAAGCAACTTCCCTACAAGGACAAATCTCAGTGAACAACATCTTTTTCTTTGTTTTTCCATTTGGATAATTATGTGAACAAAGATCTTACTTTCTAGAATTCTGTTACCAAATTGAGACTATAATTGTTCAGCATTTCTACCTAAAATTATCTGCAGAAATTTAACGAAATCCTGGTCTTCATAACTATAGGTAATTTAGATCTATTCCACACAGCTTAAGACATATTTATACTTTGAAAGTTGTGATTTTTATTGATTGTATTTTGTCTTTGTTCTTTATACATTTTAGACAATAGTGCAATAAAACCTAAAACCAGAGACGGTCATCAGGACACACTATGTTTTAACTGTGAAGCTATTACAAGAATTCCATGAGTTTACTATGTGGGACTATATTTGATAGTGACCTTCATCATCCATAAATGTTTATAGCACAGAACCCAGATATCATTTAACAGCCCTGAGATTGCCACCGACTGTAGGTGAGCATTGTTATTAAGTCAGGGGCAGGTGCGTTCATTACACTAAGCACACATAATAAAAGGGCAAATTCTTCCAAGAAATACACATTAATGTATGGATTCTTTGGCAACTACTGCATTTATAGTTTTTACATGATCTACTACTACAATACAAGATGAAGATCCGAAAAAATAACATTTCAGAATAACTCACAAAATCACTGATGTTCAGCCATGTCTTCATTTTCTAGTATATTACATTCTACACCAGAGCTCTCAACTACATCTCTAGATAATAAAATTGGCTTTTATGCCAGGAAACAGCATAAATCACTCCTGAAATCAAATAGGCCATGGCATGTGCAAAAAATTTTCAAATGGCAGCTCTTCTGCTTGCCTGTGACTATACAGGTGCCTCTCCATTTCTTTCTCATTTTCCTAATAAACCTGTCCTTTTAAAATGTAAAAGAAAAAAATTCAGATGTACTTTATCCCAGAAACATGGAAGGCTCAGAGTCCCTCAACATTCAAGCATATTTCAATACAAATAAGAGGAGGACTGTTTCAAATTCAAAAAACAAAAAACAAAAGAACAGTAAGTTTCTCTCACTGGTTAAAGGAGCATCCTTTTGAAAAGGTTCAGGCCAAAACAGACTTTGAATAATTTGATTCCTAGAAAAATCTGTGAGCTTTTATACATAATGAGAGTAAATCCTAATAATAACTAAAGACATTTCTTTCACCATAATTTAAACGCTAAAAAAAAAGTGCACTCTCAATGCTTGTACCTGTAATAATGCCCTCAAATTCATACACATGAAACTAATATTACCAACTCTATGTCAAAACCTTCACTTCCAGTAAACAGCTGAGATTTATCCATGTTTAAACAATAGCATGAACATGTAAAAGTATCAAATGTACCTCTTGGTTTTTAGTTCCTGAATGATCACTAAATGTTCCACATTTCTCCTTCAGTAACAATGGAATTTCATTTGTCTTCCCATATTTACCATCATTTAGGTCTCTTGCCATCTTCCATAACTAAATTATTGATATAATACCATTGGCACCGTGCCTGGGAAACAATGACATGAAAGTGAGCAGAGTTATATAAAATAATTTGATTTGGTAGTGCTCCAAAGCACTTCATTTATTAGTTTATATATCTCTTAAAATACAGCCCTGTAAAAATCTATCTAAAAATATCTATTTAAAAATCTAGAGATTTTCAAGCACATCGTTGTCTTTTAACAAGTAGAAAACCAAATGACTATGTCCATTTTATGAAAGATCAGTTTAAAGACTCCTGAAAAACTTAGTTAATTTAGGCATTGACAACTGTGCATCATATATTTTCCTTAACCATAGAAACAGAATTTGAGGAATTCTAGCTTCAAAGAGGCACAGAATAGCTAAAAGTAAATAGTTGACCATAACTGTTAATTAGTGACTACTAAAAATCATGCTGAAAGATTTTTGCTATTAGAGAACTAACCAATGTAGGGAAAAAAAATTATAGAAATTATGTATATGTGCTCATAAGTACATCTACTGTATTTCTACATAATTACTCTCTAGTTCTTTTTTTTTTCAAAATAATTTTTATTATGAATTTCAAAAACATTCCAAAGAAATATAAGGAAAGAAATATGTCTATAGATGCCTTGAGCTTTTTAGAAAAGGGAGAAAAGGAAAGGGCTTATCCACACACACCAATCTGTTTGTGTTTAGTTACAGTATTACACTGGCCAGTCTTAAGCAGACCTATCACTTCAGAGTCTGAAGCCACTGCTCCAGATCACAATAGGAGCTTTTTGTCCATGTGAAGAGCAGGATTGGCTCTTCGAAACTGTGATTAAATAGTTGTCATTTTCAACATATTGAAATTAGAGACTAATTCTGAAACTGTTCTAGGAGAAGGAAAAAAAGCTTAAGCTTTATAAATTGAAGTTGGCTGCATCACAAATCTGTTGACAGTGCTAAAAGGCTCATTTCCCATCCCTTGGTATTTTTTTTCCCCCTTTCTTGCCCCTATCCTATTATTTATTGATTTATTTACTTTTTTGGTAGGCTTGCTCTTCTCATTTTGTTGCAAGGCTGCATTAGAACTCATCTGATTGTGCAGTTTAACAAAGCCTCTGACACCTGTATTCATTTGTCCTCAGCTGGTGAATGAACAGCAAGAAAGCAGACCCCTCCTGAGCCCCTCCATCGATGACTTTCTCTGTGAAACCAAATCGGAGGCAATAGCAAGGCCAGTAACGTCCAACACAGCCGGTAATTCTTTCACTTTTAACTGATCTGCAAGTAGTGCTAATTTCCACTCTAGTAAAACACAGATTTTCTTTCACAATGCATTTTAAATGGAGAATAATGTTGGTGATCAAATGAAATTTTAAAGGATATACTATTCAACTTAAATCAATAAATCACTGCTCATCACATAGAAACTGCGATGTATTACTCAACCAATTTTGCGGAAGATTAGTATAGGATCGTTAACCATTTCTCTCTGCATATTTTCGTATTTAGATCATTACATTTCAAGTCACATCGCATTTGGAAATCTTTCAAACAAAAGCATCCATTTCAGAGTAATGTTTTCCAAAGTCTAGCTGGAAATATTTTGTATGGCAAAAGTCCGGTAAAATAAAAAAGTGGGCAACCCCGCAAGAGGATTGAAATGCCTTAGTGGCTGGGATATCACGGTCAATTTTATTTTTCTGTCCTATAAATGTGTTACTTCTCTCTCTTAAAATGATTTATTTGAGCTTTCTGGAATTAAACCTACCGGAACAGTAAATAAACCTCGTTATAGATAGAGCGGTGTGCTACTAAGTATTCCTCCAGAGTGGTTCAGGCCTCCATTCTGTGCACCCTACCTTCCCTGATACCCTCTGCACTTTCCAGTTCTCATTGATGTCAAAATTAAATCACATAGGAAGAACCCGCCTCAGGCAGCAAAAGGGTTTTCACCTCTGGTACCACAGGCAGCCTTTCTGCATTGATTTCATTCAATCAACATTCGCACTTGAAGATGTTCAAATAAGGATGATTCCGAATGAATACTCATTTGGAATCAATGAGCAAAGGTTATGTTGGTTGTGCCGGGGGGAATTTAAGAGGAAAATGAGAAGATATTGCGTTGTCTTTTTTAATGTATTCCATGTCCTGGACATGGCCTCAATTTGCTGTTTGCCTTGCATAACTCCATCATACTTTTCAGTAAGTGAAGAAAACTGTAGGATACTTTAGTGTTAAGTATTATAATAACCAGGATAACTAACATAAGCCAGAGGACCTTTATGTGAGAATGTCAGCTACAGTCTCTAGGTTTAAACTTCATGAATTCAAACCCCAGCTCTGCCACTTAGCCTCTCTGTCTCTTGGTCAAGTTGCTAACCTAAGACTGTTTCCTCTTATAATATGTGCATCACATAAGTTACTTGAAAATCTTTAATGAAACAACAGAAGTACCTAAGTGTTTAATTTAACCCCATGTACGTTCTAACTGGTGTTACCATTATTGTTAGATTACCAATAAGTGAACAACAGTTTTACCCATCACTTCCTTTTCCAAATGCAAGAAATTTCTTGATATCACACCAAAGCAATCATCTCCTAGATTCAACTATCACTTTGAGTGTCAAACAAATAAAATTGTACTTGCTGCGCTCTAAATAGGAAGCTAAACAAGTTCAGATACTATCAGATTCAACCTCCATAGCTGATACTGACCTTACCCCTCCAAAACTGAAGAACTTCCCCCAGAAAAACAGAGGAGTTTTGTGTAGCTAATTACAGGAAAATTCAAGAAAATAGGCAGCACTGAGCAATTGTGATGTTATGGGGAAAAATACTACAAAGCAGACAGAAGTCTCAGATCTTGATAACAACACCTTCTGTATTTCCAGTTCTCACTGATGCTAAAACCAAGTCACTTAGCAAGCATCCACCCTGAGAGAGCATCATAAGATTTAATTCAAAAGCTATTGTCACCTTGGTTTTTTTTTTTTTCAAACACATAAAAGAAAAATCTGGGGAGTATTGGAGGAAAAATATCTAAAGAATGTGTATTTACTTGCAATCCTTACATCTATGGTATTGCCTTCTATACAAATTTTCTAGGGCTGCCCCACACAAATACCACACACTGTGGATTCAACAATAGTAGTGTACTGTCTCATAATTCTGGAAGTCGAAAGTCTGAAATCAAGGTGTCAGCAGGCAATCCTCCCTGTTTCAGGCTTCTCTCCTAATTTCCAGTAGCTCCTTGGCTTGAAGCAGCCTAGTACCAGCCTTCATATGACATTCTCTCTCTGTGAGTGTGTATGTGTGTGTTTCCCTATGCGTGTTTGTATCTGTATTCAAATGTCTCCACCCAATAAAAACACCAGTCATATTGGCTACATATATACTCACCTGCTCCACTATAATTCATCTTAGCTAATTTCATCAAAAAAAATCCAATTTCCAAATAAAATCACCTTTCCTGATACTGAGTGTTGGACCTAAATGTATAGTTGGTGGGGGGGGGGGGGGAGGGACACAGGTTCAGTCTCTAACAGCCACCAAAGTAGGGTGTTAGAGAAAAATGGCATCCTGAAACTATGGGGGCTTTATATAGCTATTATTCAGCATTCAGTGTCTCTAGACCACATAGATTTTATGTGGGAGGCTTTTGTTTGATGCTTGTTTATTACTCTTATATTTCAAGGCAGAAATGTAATGTTTTCTTAATTCCTAAGCAATATAGTTTCTATCTAAATTAACACAACATAGAAAATATTTATCCCTTCCAAAGGTGAAATAATAGATTCTCTACCAGCCTTATATAAGTACTTACAAACTTCCACCTCATAAGTTTTTAATTATCACTTCTTAACTATTTCAATTACATTTCTTTACTTTCTGTTTTTTTTTTTTACATTACCATTAACTTTTTGTCATATGGTGATGATAATTTAAGCTAATCAAACAAATTTATTTTCTTTTTTTGCCACTAACATCTTAAAATATCTTTAATTCATCAGCAGTCAAGCTAGATAACTTAATGTTTAACTCTCAAACTATATACCTAGATTTGTGTGTTAACAGAAAAGAAACTGGAATTTCACATAATCCAAAAGACCTGTATCCATAACCTTGAGTCAATTAAGTAGATAGTTATTATGAAAGAAACATGTTTCATGGTTTTAAAAACATTAATCTCACTCCCTGCTATGTGGCCTGTATACCTATTTATCAGATGCCTACATAGAAAGAAAAAGTTTTACTTAACAAAGTTCACAATCACAGCCACCTAATTAAATATTTAACTGCAAAATTCTTGTGATTTTTGTAAAATACATTTTTATATCATGAACCCAATGACATGTCTCTTGAGAGACCTTATAAATTTGAGAAATAACTTTCATTATTACACATTCTAGTAGAAAGCAAAAGTTGGTTGAATTATATAAGTCCAATGTATCTGTTTGCATGACTGTCAAAATCCTTTATAAAAGACTTTGCGCTACAACCACAATAAAGAAAAAAAAAATACCATATGTTCTGGGATGCCAGGATAGCTTACAAAATAAAGCAGAGAATCCAGGAGCAACTTATGGTGCATTTTAAGCTCTACCAGGCAGGGTTTAGTCCGATCTGTCTTCTCTGGCCAGTCCATGTACAGTTTTCCACTAGAAAAATTAACTAAAAATCTGAAGTTTACTAAGAAAAAAATATCTGGTTTATTATACAATAGTAGTGTTTGCAGCATTAGTTTACCATCAAAGTATCAAATTGAGGCTTTATAATATAATCAGTGTTATTTTACTTTAGCTCTTCAGGCATCCTCACCTCCTGGGGGCCCAAGGAATCTAATTAATATTCATAAACATCAGAGCTCTGAGGAGCCTCCCAGTGAATATCTTGTGTTTTCTTGAGGCAGATGGAAACTGATACTTAGGTGACATAATATATCTTCCACCTTCAAGAAACTGCCGTAAATGGAATTAATGTATCCAAAAAGAAAGGAGTTTCTAGGATTACCAAGTTTTTAAATTATGTCCCAGTCTACACAAAATGCCAAATATTGGGAACTAAACAAAAAAAACTATCAACTTTATAGTGATAAAATTGGTGCCTCCAGGTTCAGAAAAGTCTGGAGAAGGCTGATGAAGAGCACAGACCCCTGACACTCCTGTGTCTAAATCCTGGTATGGCCATGACCTACCAGCTGTACTATTTTCTTTTAGTTGCACCAACAAATTAGCACAGATTTAGTACCTTAAAACAATGCAAATGTACTGTTCGTGCAAGTAAGCAGTACTAAAATCCAGGTGTCGGCAAGGTTGTATTTCTTCTGGAAACTGTCAAGGACAGTTTGTTTCTATGTTTAGAATCTTCTTCAAAGAGTGTTGTCAGCAGAGTCTCCTGTAGTGGGAAATATGTATTTGAATTATAACTGTTCTTCTAGCACTATTTTATAGACATTAGACAAAGAACTCATTTATTTTTTTACAGATTTTTTGGATTTTGTTTTATAAATATATTTTTACATCATTCCTCATTTTGTGCATTTTTTCATCTCAGTTATAATCCCTGTGGACTTCCCACCACCAGTTCACCCCTGAGACGTTACCATTGTCCCGTGTATTCTTCTTGCACCCTAGTTTTGGTCCTCTTCCCCTCTCCACTCCTGAACCCTTACACCCCTGCTATGAGTGAAACCATCTGGTATTTTTCTTTTTCTTTTTGGTTTATTTCATTAAGCAAGATCCCTTCCAGCTCCATCCATGTTGCAGCAAAAAGCATGGGTTTATCTTTTTGATTGCTAAGTAATATTCCATTGTGTATATACCATATCTTCTTGATCCAGTCATCTATTTTTGGGCATTTGGGTTGATTCCACATCTTCCCTATTTTAAATAGGGCAGCAATAAACAGGAATGCAGGTCCTTTTGAATTATTGTTTTTGTGTTCTTTGGATAGATACCTAGGAGTAGGATTGCTGGATCATATGGAAGCTCCATTTTTAGCAATTTGAGAAACCTCCACACAGCTTTCCATAGTGGTTGCACCAGTTTGCATTCCCATATACAGTGTAGGAGAGTTCCTTTTTCTCCACACCCTCACCAACATTTATTGTTGCTTGATTTTTTAACATGTGCCATTCTTACTGGTGTGCGGTGGTATCTCATTATGGTTTTGATTTGCATTTCCCATATTACAAACAAAGTATTTCATTTAAACATTACACTGTGAAGTAGAATTTTATCTTCATTTTAATTTCTGAGTCAAAAACAAGGCTTAGAGAACTAAGCCTGCCCAAGTCATACAGCTAGTATTTGACAGGGTGAGGATTTGTATCTAGACTATCTTACTCACTTTCCTGTGCACCTTATTTTTCACTCAGTGTCTGGATCACAAAGTGGGCTAGCTGAACTGCGATGCAGAGTCAGCACAAAATATGGAAGAATGGCCAGGGAAGTAGAGACCTGTTTAGATGTCACTGAGCTAAGAATCACCTTATTGGTGCAGATGGAAATAAAGAGAATGACTTATTTTGAATCACAGAATCCTCACAGCCCATAAACCTAGCTTTGAATCCTCTAGGTATTAGCATGACCCTTTATTTTTAAAAGCGCATACACTTATGCTCACACACGCACGTGCTCATGCAGATACACACATTTGCGCACGTGTGAGCCACTGAACGTGATTTAGCTTCTTCGAGAAAGTCAAAGGCCACATCATCCTTTTTATGCTTCTGAAATTTTGTGTCCAAGACTTTCTCAGCTTCAAAGCTTATCATTCAACCTCCAACCCGCCCCCTTCATTCACTGGATAACAAACAGGCCCTTTTGTGCCTGTCAAGCATTTTTTTCACATTTGCTGGGAAAAGAACAATGGAACAGAAAGCTCAGAACAAACACAGGAAGTGCTGAAGAAAGTTTGGAGGGGGGAGGAAACATTATTAAGTGAAGTTCAATTTGCAACTCTTTTAGTAATTCATTTCTTCTGAATGGTGAGAAGCAGATATAGAATTAAATTAATACTCACCAGTTATTATTCTGTAACAAATGTACTTCCTATATACAAGTAGCTGATTCCTATATAATTTGCTTCTAAAAGAAGTCTAAGAGCAGTGACTAATTCCTAATTGTTTTTACAATTAGTAAAAAGACATACATGGCATCCCAGAGACTGCTATCCACTTCCTTCCTTCTATTATACAGGAAATTACATTGGGTCTAGAATTCTTGCCAATGAAATGGGGACCTGGAAAGTTCTGTTTAAACATTCAGAGGACATAAAGTGTGTGCCCTCCTCGCCTGTTTTGGCTGTGGGCCATGCTTTGGTTTTAGATATCAAGTCAGGCAGCTCAGCTCTGAAAGCCACTCTGTCCCCCCACTTTCAAGGACTGGCTAACCACAAAACACTGCATATCTCAGAGAATCTTAGCTTCAGAAAGTGGCTTCCTTCTCTTCAAAAGACTCAGATAAGATAATCTGACACTTTCATATCTCTTTATGATAATTTTACTTCATAATAACATCCTCAGTAGAACCAATATCTTTGTCTCATCCTCCATTTTATTCCTGATGGTGTTTCTTCTTCCTGTCAGTGTATGGGTCTGATTCTCTCCTGAAATAGAAATGGAAACTAAGGGAAATAGGAAAAGAACAACAAAAAGAAAAAGAAAAGAAAAGCTTCTCAAACTGGCTGCCAAAGAATAGGAATAAACACTGAAGGCCCTTGATAAGCCTGGCAGAGAGTGCCTTTAATTCATAAGTTAATCTTCTCCTTAGGCCTAAAAGACAGGCCATTCATCTCTCATTTTTCACGCGAGAAAACAAACTCAGAGAGGTCAAGAGGTGAAGAGTTATTCCGAGTCACACATTGAAGCAGTGGGAGAGTCTGCTCTATCCACGTCACTAGCAACATTCTTTCACTGCAATTGGTCATTGTAGTCAGGAAACAAGATTATCAAGAGTAAAACTTACCACGCTGTCCTGAGGGTGGCACAAGGAGACCAACGGAGGAAGATGAGGCATGCAGAACTAAGGAAACCCTGACCCCACCCTGAGGGAGTGGAGGAAGCAAATGGAAGAGGACTGGACAGCAGCAAAAATCCATTCCCTACTGAGAGGATAGCTGGGAGATGGCATTGCTGGACATAGTGACAGAGAAGTTTCAGACTCGCCGTTTCTCTGTCATATAGGTGTTTTTCCTTTGCTAGTTGGACCCTGGCCTCCAGGCCAGCTCAGGAGCCAGCCTCTCAGCTGACAGGGCTGAAGAAGAGGCAGAGTTTGGGGTGCCATCTCTAATTTGAATTTTCCATCTCTCACAATGAGTTACTCAAACACAGGGTTACTTGCACTGTAAGAGAAAAGACAATGGAAGAGTTACAATACTTGCCTTTGCAACTCTCACTTGTCTAGTTTGCCTTTGAACAAATTATTACTTCTGTCTTATTAGATTATTTTTAAGATTTATATGCAGACCCTCCCTGGTGGCGCAGCAGGTTAAAGCACAGCACTGAGAATCTAAAGCCGCTTCCGCATGAGTTCGATTCCCGCCTGCCCCGGAGGTGACCACATGGCGTGGCAGACCTCTCCTGACCTGCCCGCTGCTCCCCTCAGCAGTGTACTTCGTCGATCTGCCTGTTCTGCTCCCCACTCTGTCTCTGGTGAAGCCTCTCGCCGCCCCTGAGCGTCTGGCCTATACCCCAGTTCTGTATGCACAAATAAATAAATCTTTAAAAAAAAAAAAAAATATTTATATGCATACAAGAACTGGGGTGTAGGCCAGTTCTTGTGGAATGTGAGCGGATTCACCAGAGATAGAGTGGTAGGCAGAACAGGCAGATCTACTGAAATACACTGCTGAGTGGAGCAACAGGCAAGACTGGAGAGGTCTGCTGCACCATGTGGATCAGTTTCCTAGCAAGCAGGGGGATCAAACTCATGCTGCAGTGGCTAACAATAGCTTGATACTGCTGTGCCTTTAACCCCTCTGCACCAGGGAGGCCCTGCCTTGTTAGATTATTTAACACAATATAAATCAACCTGCTAGGAAGTCAAAGTAAAACCCAGCTATGGCTTGTTACATTGAAATTTAATTGTGCATATTAAATAGCAAAGGCTTTGTTTTGCCATGTGTACCTATTCATCAACCTTGGATTGTGGAATACCTCTCTAGTGTAAGCCCAAGTAGCAAGCTGCTTTCTGATTGAGCTGCTGCATTAAATAAAAGATAATTAACAGTATTTTTTTTTACTTAGTATAGTTTAGTAATTTAAAATTAAAAGACATAAACATTTAAAAATTTCCACAAGTCTTCCTCATTACTATTTTTGCAAACATATCTCTAAACATGACAGATTGGCTTATCTCTGGAAAAATTACAATCTAAAATAAACTTCTAGAAATAAAGCAAAGCTATAAATTAAATAGTACCTGAACTCTGCTCAATTTTACCATTTCAATTTCATTCAAACTTTCCTCACTGAGGCTGATCTAAGTCCTATTTTGCAGATTTGTACTGTGCCAAAAAAGAACATGCAGCAAATTCCCAGTCTAAACACAAATGGTCTTTATAAATCAATTATGAGCTAACTAAATCTGATGCTTCTACACTGCAAACACAAAATCCTGAAGTCAATTTTTTTAATAATTTCAGAACAGCAGATAGGCTAGTGTTAACCTCTTCCATTTCTGATAGTATTGACCACAGGCTTAGATCTCCTTGACCTAAGTGAACCCATCTCTCAAACCCAAACCAAAGCCAAGAAGTTGGAGACCTCATCAAAAACCTCATCCCTCAAGAAAAAGGCTGATGGATCTGACCTCATCAGCGCAGATGCTGAACAGAGAGCCCAGCCTCTCCGAGGCCCGGAGACGTCATCCTTAGATCTAGGTAAGGCAGAAGTTGTTGTCTCCTGCTGTTCCACCTTGCCTTGACATAGGGAAATAACACAAATGACATTTAAGCCATGGGCAGGAGAGCAGGACTCCATACAAGTAACTGGGTAGCATACAATTCCTTGTGTGCTAAGACTACATGGCAGTTGGGGAGCTCAACTTTGCATAATTGAGGTGGATTCATTCATTTATTTATTTAGTTCGTGTATATTGAGTTCCTGTTATGTGACAGGCACCATATGAAGCACTGGAGTTCAAATAAAAACAAGACATGAATCCTGGTTTCTAGGAGGATTCAGTCTAGAGGTAGGTGGAGGGAAAAAGAGAAGGCAGGAGGGAGGGAGGGGCATAGGGTGGGAAAGGAAGATCAAAAATGATAAACTCATGCCATTTTTAGCAACTTAGATGAAATTGGAAGGGATTATGTAAGTGAGATGAACCAGAAGGAGAAAGATAAATACCAAATGCTTACTTATATGTGGCATACAGAGAAACCAAAGGGTCAGACAAAGAAAAGCTTTAACACCAACTCTTGAAAGCTGACCATAGATCTGTGGGTTTCAGAGCAGGAGGGGAAGGGTTGAGAAAAATCTCTCTGAAGAATGTGTGGAGGAAGGAATAGAGGCAGAGAAAACAAAATAGACAACCAAAGTAGTGGCAGAGGAGAGACAGATTTTTTTAAAAATAATGTAAGAAGACTTGAGAATATGTAAATGTGTATATGCCAGCAAAGAAGACATAATAGAATGTACCAACTGTAATGAGGATACAAGAGGGGAAATAAAGAAAAAGCAGTTGTTTTCAACCTGTTATATTTGAAGAAACTGTGAGACTTCTCTGTGGAGAAATCCAATATGTATGTATTACACATATATATATTTAAAGATTTATTTATTTATGCATACAGAACTGAGGTGCAGGCCAGAGTTGCAGGGGTGGTGAAAGGATTCACCAGAGACAGCGTGGGAAGCAAAACAGGCAGATCGACAAAATACACTGCTGAGGGGAGCAGCGGGCGGGTCAGAGAGGTCTGCTGTGCCATGTGGATCTCCTCCAGGGCTGGGGATTGAACTCACACTGAAGAGACTGTGGCTTGCTTGCAGTGCTGCACTTTAACTCGTTGCACCACCAGGGAGGGCCCCTATATATTTATATAATCTCCAGAACTTATGAAAAAAGAGCTGAGTACAAAATGGAGATTTCAAAGAGAGTATGAGTGGCTATCACAGTCATTGGTATAGATGAGATTACCCAACACTATGTGGTAGAAAAAAGTGAAAACCAACTCATTGTTGAAAAATCACTTGATATATAGGACTCCCTTTCTCCACCATATCCCTCTTTAGGACCTGTCTTTTTGGAACAAAACTTTTTAATTACCTCCAATATGCCCTCACCATCAACATGTCTTAGGTTTATTCAAAAGAATAGATGGCATTTATAAATTGTTAAAGTCTGTATAACTAAATGCTCACATATACAATAAATTTATTTCAGGGTAGACAACTAAATAAATTACAATATGCATTTGCAAAAACCATGTACATGAAAATTTCATGTCTCTACTTTTGAGAAAGAGTCTTGAGAAGTAGTCATAAAAATAGTTAGTTGAAAGAGCTTTAAATTACATCAACTCCAAGACTCTTTTTATAAATGACAAAACTGTTCCCCAGGTTTGAGTTAGTGGTTTACTGAAAGAAAGCCCAGCCAATTATTTATCACTAAGAATGAAATCACAAGGGGGAAACAGCTTTAGTGTTCTCTTGGCTCTCTCCATGGCCTCCTTTCTCATTATCCCTATTCAAAATCCCTTTCTTTGGTTAAAAAAAAAAAAATTAGTTTATACAAAAGCTATGTGATCCAGTTTCTCCCTACCTCTATTTTAAAATAAAGCTCATCTCCTAAGCAGAATTTCTTTCTAGAAACATGCCCAAAGTGCCTCAATGTCACCTCGATAGCTGCAGGCTGAGGTGGTCCATATACTCAATTCTATACCAGATCCCATGGATCTTACACACTGGATTCAAAATGCATATACCTCTTGAAATAAGTTTAGATAAAGCAACTTGATGCTTAACTGTGAAAATAATTTAAGTTAGCAGATGTTGTTTTATTTAACCGCACATTTTCATTTTTGTGTGACCTTAAAAATTGGTCGTGGGGTTTGAGAACATCAGCTCAGTAACATTATCTTGTATAAGACTTCTTAATCTTCCTCAATCTCTCTTGTCTCTGCACCTCACATTCTCCCCGGCCCCCCTTGCCTCCTTCCTCTCTCCTTAATAGATATTCAAACGCAATTGGAAAAATGGGATGATGTTAAGTTTCATGGAGATAGAAATGGCAAAGGACACCCAATGGCGGAGAGAAAATCATGTTCTTCTAGAACTGGATCAAAAGAACTATTATGGTAAGATTTTTTTTAAGATTGATTTATTTGTGTGTCCTGCTGAGGGGAGCAACGGGCAAGTCAGGAGAGGTCTGCCAAGCCATATTGTCACCTCCGGGGCAGGAGAATGTCGAACTCTTGTGGAAGTGGCTTTTAGCTTCTTAGTGCTGTGCTTTTTCTGCTGTGCCACCAGGGAGGGCCAGATGTTTTTAATATCAGAAAACAGTCATTTATGTATCCACTGTATGGTTATTTCTCTCATATACTGAAATAATCAAATAATCAAATTCATAATTCAGTATTTGTTGATAATTTTCTGAATGTGTAATTTTCTCAGGTGATCAATCAAAATAGATACATGCATATATTTATGTATATATGTGTGTATTCAATATATTATATAAGTGATAATTAACTTTTTCTAATTAACAGATAATCTTTTCTGACCTTCTTAACCTTAAGTCTGACAAAACACTGAGTAAGAATAATGATGGTTCCTCCTTAAGAAAATTTGACCACCTGAGTTTATCTGTACTTTTTGTTATTTATTTATTTTTGTATGGTGGTTCAGTTTTGTACAAGTTTGATTTCTCCTCTCAGTTGTAATCCCCATAAAATTACCATCACCAAGATATCCATAAACTGTCACCACAGTTTCTTGACCACAGGTGTTTACAATTAATTGACCACAGCCAATTTTCCATATTTTTAAAGTGTTTCCGTTCATGTTGCCCTTCAATCATAGCCATTTTTTATGACAATTCATATTCTATATCAGTATTTTTTAAAAGAAAATAAAATCTGAGATACTTTATGAAAAACTCCCCTTCCCCAAAATATCCATACTTTTTTTTCTACATCACTGTTCATTTCAGGCCTGATAGCTCTACGATCACATCACCTGTGAACCACCACCACAGTCCCTGTGTTCTTCTCTTCCCTGTATTGACTCCTCCCAAACCTCCCCTGCTTAATACTTCAGACTTATGGTTTGCCTGTAAGCATACTTTTTAATAAGAGAATTTATAGTAACCAGAGCAATATTGCATTTATTTACTTTTTGAACATAACTGAACTGAATTCTAACTCAATCATAGATAGTAATATCTAACATATTGCAGTCATTTAAATTCTAAATGTGGTCATTGTAGTAGAAATACATTAAAGTTATCTTTGTGATCAATATTCTGATTAAAAATTATGTTAAAATGGCTCTAAATATTCCAAATCAGGTAGGTTTCCTTCCTGAGTTTTCAGCTGAGTTTGCCTTTCATTCTGCATTAATTTACTTCATTCATCTCCCCTAGGTCTTCAGAACACAGATCTCAACCAGAACTGAGTGGTGGGAAAAGTGCTCTCAACTCTGAGTCAGCTTCAGAATTGGAATTAGTGCCTCCAACACAGGTAACTGAACTTTTCTTCAATGAACCCATATTTCCTGATTAAAAGAAAAAAAAATTGTATCATAAATATTTTATTTAAAATTTACACAAAAAGATTTCAAGTTTTCTTCTGTATTTTGCATTTCATGTGTTTTCTCACTAGGTAATGATCAATGTTTTAAATAACATAATTATATCTATTTTATCAAATAGATGTATATATTTGACTGGAAGTGTGTAAACAAATTCTCTGTCTACTTAGCACTTTTTCTTTGTTCTATCATTTACTGCTCTATTATTTTGCAAGACAAAATCTGTCCTACTCCAGTATTAGCACTATTTATATAACAGAACACAAAAAAGAGGAAATTACATCTTGAGTATTCATTCACATTTACATCTTGTAGAACAAAGGATTTATACACTAGAGTCCTGATTATCATATGAAAAATAAATTTTATGCTTAGGAAAAAATATATTAGCAAGAATGATAATAAAGAGGTACCATTTTGTGAGTTCTCACCTATGAATTAGGAACTTAGCTATGTGTTATACATGTTTATATGATGCTCAAATAATTCTGAGAATTAGTATTAGCTTCACTTTTAAAGATCCTTTAAAGAATGTGGGTAAAGTCAAAAATCCATTTTCTGGGTTACTCAGCTAATCACTACTGGTTATGAACCAGATCGATCTGTCCAATACTTGACCCTGGATTCTGGGGTAACTAGCCTGTTAGTAACTAGTGATCTCCTGTGGCTCAAGTCTGCCCCCCAAAAGCCTAATCCATCACCATCTTCTCATTCTTTCAAACTCTTTACAAAGGAGCAGCCTTAATTAACACCACGAAGATCTCTTTAGAAATGTATGGGTGCAATCTAGTTGAATATAAGTGGGATGAAATAAGCAAGAGACATTGAGTTTTCTACATAGATAAGATACTGAAACTAAGAACAATTATGTGTTGTCTTAGGTGAAATTGAAATAAAGGAGTAATTACAATAGTAAATATTACTGAATGCTGTGATAAGGCTGTCTTGTATATGTAAGCTAATCAATCCTAACAAATAACTCTGAAATAAATTTATTTATTGTCCCCATTTTTTATTGACAGAAATTAAAGCATTGTGAGATAAGAAAGATGACTATACACCCTTAATGAGTAAGAGAAAAGCCAGGGCACAAATAGAGAGAGAGAGAGGAAATGTTGAAGAAAGGGTAGTCATCTAGAAAGCTCTCTAGACCACTAATAGCACTCCACATATACCTCACACTACACAAGAGAGGGGTGAACATGACTGTTCCCAGAATTCTGCTGAACAGGGAGTCGACTAAATTCCGAAACAAATAACCCTGGGAAGCTTACTGAATGTAAGCTTAAAATGTAGCTTAAAAATGTGTTTTCTTCTTCTGTGTTATTCTAAATGTGTCCTTTAAAAAAGCAAATTGATAATCTATTAGAGAAGCATTTTTTGATTGGTACACTAGAGAGTTGGATTTGGTTAGTGTTGTTGGTACTGTTTCATAAACTGGAGTCCTTGGAACAATTTAATGTTGCACTAGAACATTTGTTTCCACATCGGGGGAGACTTGGAACAGGTGGGCTGTTTTATGTGGAGCTAGAGAGGTAGAGGATCAGCTCGGGTCCCTGGTTGCCATGGAGACCCACGATGCATTTCTCTTATTATTCCAGTGATTGCTACTCTCCTGCTGATGGTGTGATTTCATCCCACATCATCTTGCCTCTTACCCACTGGTGTGCCTCCAAGCAAACACAATGTGCTTTGGAAAATTTTTATGAGAGTCCCAATCTTGCCCTCCGGCACATCAGTTCTCAGTATAAATAGGTCCTCAGGAATCCTTTTAGAGGGTTACCATTTATTTGTAAAGAATTCACCCTTTAATTTGTTTTTCTTTCCTGAAACACCATATATTTACTTCTCAAGATTTTCCTAAAGAAATTCATGATCTCCTAATTTTAATTCCAACCTGCAATCAAGTTAGGAAAATGTCCTGAGATTCAGATTTACTCATCTAAAACTATGAAGTCATTCCAATACGCAGCAAGAAAAAATACTGAGTACAAATAACTATAAACCAGAGACATTCTAGGGGGTAGAGAGGGAAATAGGCTCAAAACGGGGTGGGAAAAGTACATGGGACTATGGCGATGGCACATAGATAAATTAGTGGTGGGAGGAAATCCATGGGGATTACAACTTTGATTAAAAAATGTATAAAATGAAGAACGATGTAATATATTTGTATATATACAATATAAAAATTAAACTGTACTCTAAAGCAACAAAAATAAATAAAAGACAAGAAAAATGTTTTTAACTGTTAGCAGGATACTGCTGTTTAAAAATGATCCCTTTACAGACCAGGGGTGAAGGAGTGGAGAATAATAATAATAAGCAACTATATACTAGAGACATTTTTCAGGGGTGGAGTGGGATCAAAAATGGACTATGGTAATGGCACACGGGTGATTTGATGATGGAAAGTCCACAGGGATTACGACTGAGATGGAAAAAGGCACAAAATGATGTAAAAATAAACTATTATATTAAAATTTTTAAAAAGACACCCATAAAAAAAAGATCCCTTTACAAAGATAAGGTGTAGGTGGTATAAAAACTCAACTTACAGGCCCTCCCTGGTGGCACAGCAGTTTAAAGCACTGCACTGAAAAGCTAAAGCCACTTCCGCATGAGTTCGATTCCCGCCTGTCCCGGAGGTGACCACATGGTGTGGCAGACCTCTCCGGACCCTCCCGCTGCTCCCCTCAGCAGTGTACTTCATCGATCTGTCTGTTCTGCTCCCCACTCTGTCTCTGATTAAGACTCTCACCGCCCCTGAGCCTCTGGCCTGTACCCCAGTTCCTAATGCACAAATAAATAAATCTTAAAAAAATATATATAAATAAAAATAAATAAGTAAATAAAAACTCAACTTACAGTTGACTAGCATACTATTCAAGTGAACAATTTCAGCTTGTCATAACTTGTCATTGCTCCACCATCATTCAGACAGTTCATGTGAAAACCAGAGTAATGTTTTACTTCCTCTCAGGTCATCATAAACTACATTAGACTAAACAGGTAGGAGCTATTTTCAAAACTGGTTTAAAAATCATATTTCACAAAAATTTTAAAATCGTATTTCAGAATCAAAGGGAATAGACGTTCACAATTTTTTCTAAGTGTGAAAAGGAAAAATAGTCAAGTCTCTTTTCAAGAGTCTTTTAAAGATGATGTGATTTCATCCCAGCACAAATCAGAGTGTGGCAGGAACATATAATAAACGATATAATCTTTATATATTTAAGAAAAGATTCTTCACACTTATGCAAATTGTGTAATTAGTACTAATTAGTACTCCCTGATGTTAATTGCTTAAATAAATTATGCAACCTGGAAAATGATCAAATATTTCAAGAATTGAAGGAAAATATTAAAGAAGATGTTGTAAAATTAACCTTTGTCATTCATGGATTGAGGTAGTGGTGAGGAAATAACAATCATAGCAATAATCCCACTTCTAAAGACTGATGTTGCAAACATTTCTATTTCAAATTTGGAATCTGGAAGAGGAGCTTCAACATAGCAAGAGCTAGCAAGAGAATGTACAGCAGCCAGACTCTCCAAATCATGCACAATTCATCCAGTTGACAATATCCCAAAACAGAACAACTTAATTCTAAGATATAAATGCAGATATGTTTTCTGAATTTTGAAGAAGTAATATCAAATGAAATTCCTGTTAATAACTAATTTAGTATACACATAATATGTGTGATATGAAATATTTCTACTACTTAATATTTAAAAGCACACTAAACTCTGATATTGTTCCCATTTCTCGAATAAAGTGCAACTTAGAGAGCAGAAGTAATTTTCCCAAGGTGAAAGAGAGGAACCAGGATTCACATCATATCCATCAACTTCTAAAAGCCTTGTTTTTAACAATCACATAAACTTTGTCCACCTGAAATAATTCACAGAACATCTATTTCCTTTGTCACTACAAGCTCTGGTACTTTTGTGAATTAAAAACTAACCACTTTGATGCAGAAATACTGTCAGATAAATTAGTATTGTCATATACTGTTTTGTGCCTTTCCCCTCTCCAATTCATTCTCAAACTCTTAGAAATGCTGATGATTTCTATTTCAGTTCAACAAATGACTGAATGTCTTTTATCCATAAGGTCATAAGTGAAGCAGTAAAAACTTAGAAAGACAGTGGTAATTATAAGATTCAAAACCTGCATACCTAATGGAGACTAGATAGTCCATTCCTTGCTTTGCACATAGGTCTAGGAATTTGTTCCTGATGTTTTACATGAGTAAATATGATAAATATCTGTTGATTGATTAAAATAAAAGAAATCCTGGTCATCTCAATGAGGGAAGTATTCAAATGATCCATTACAATGTAAGAATCCAACTTATCTCTATTAACCACAAGCACAAGTATTTTAAACACAGATATTTTAGCGAATTTCTAATTTAATGAATTTCTTGATAAGCACTACCCAAAAAGATGATAATAACAAAAGTCAAGTTTTATTACATACTTAATGTGTACTGAATATTTTGTGCTTATACTTATATGAATTTTTGTATTTAATTCTTATTTGGATTCACTGAGTGAACAAACACTCTGCAGATGGAAATACTGAGGATTGCAGAGATTAAATAATTAAGTAATTTGTCCAAGATCTCTAGTTAGTAGTAAATAATAAATCACTATTTGACTCGAGGCTGACTGACTCCAGAGATTGCACTTTTATATTGTCATTTAGGGTCTGCTGGCTGTTATTTTATTTTTTTCTTTTCTGTTGTGAAGATCTCTTTTCCCCTTCAATTTTTCTTGAAAAGTACTGTATTTTAGTGGGAGACAACTAACAATAATGTGAACTTAATTGTATGAGAAAATATGAATGACATCGAGATTAATTGACAGAAATGTTAGGACAGCCACACCCACAAAGAGAAATTTTCAAATCATAATTTTA